CCCCCCCCCCCCCCCCCTCCAATTTCTCTACGGATTTAGCCTTTCTGAGAAAATGGTTTTTGTGGCGAGGGGGAGGGGGCTCTTAATATAACTTGATATTTTTAAGAAAAAAAATTTGCAATAAAACCTCCCAAAACAAAACACAACGCCTCTGCGGAGGAGAGTGCTAGGGAACAGTCGCAAGACTTGGAAAGGCTAGCATTTTATCGGATTGTTTGGATGAAATCTATCGCTATTATGAAATACTCGGTAAAGAACAATATGAATTCCACACAAGATGGTTGTGGAGGAGGCTATGGAATGGCATAATCTCATTATCAAGTAAATCAACTGCAATTCTGACAGCAATCATGAGTAATTATGCTTCGCACTTCGGGGGCAGAAATGGTTTTACTGGGGGGGGGAGAATTCTTTCCCTGGGGGGGGGGGCAATTGCCCCCAGATATATAGTTAAAAAAGGCACTGATTGCAAGTGCGGCGGCATTCCTTGCAACAAATTCGGTATTTCGCCTCGCTGAAGACAACGAAGCAAAGTTCCCGCTCGCTGCCAAAGTCGTAAGGGAATCTTTTTACGTGGACGATGGTTTACCTTCTGTACAAACCAAGCAAGAAGCCATCTTGTTACAACGACAGCTCGAAGATCTCTTTGCCACAGGCGGTTTCAAACTTCATAAATGGGACTCCAACTCTACTGAAGTGTTGAACTCTATTCCGCAAGAAATTCGAAGCAGCCAAACTACATCTAAGTTGGGAGATTCAGACAACTTCGTTAAGACACTTGGCATAGAATACAACTCAAATCAAGATTATTTTCGATTTTCTACTGCTGAGCTCTCCGTTGATCAGTCCCACCTTACCAAACGCAACGTATTATCTGATTCTTCAAAGATCTTCGACCCACTTGGTCTTATCTCGTGTGTCACGATTGTTGTGAAAATCATTTTCCAACAGCTATGGAAACAAAGCATCGATTGGGATTTGCCATTGCCACCGGACATGCAGAGACACTTTATGAACTGGAGAGAAAGTTTGTTTGAACTGTCCAACTTAAGAATCCCTCGCTGCTATACGCCAATACATTTCCAGATTGTTGATCAACAGCTTATTGGTTTTTCTGACGCCAGTGAAAAGGCTTATTGTGGTACTGTTTATTTGAGAAGCACTAACACAACAGGTGAAGTTCACATATCTCTTGTCATGGCTAAAACACGCGTTGCACCAATCAAGAAAGTTTCCCTACCTCGTCTCGAACTTTGCGGAGCTCTTTTACTTGCGCAGATGATGAGACATCTTCAAGAAATCCTTTTCATTCCATTGTTGAATTTATACGCCTTCACAGACAGCTCAATCGTTCTTTACTGGATCTATGGCACTAGCCAGCGGTTTAAAACTTTTGAAGCTAATCGAATTGCAAAGATACAAGATTTGATACCACCTCAAAGATGCAAGCACGTTGATGGTTTACAAAATCCAGCGGACGTCGGATCTCGTGGTATATTAGCAAAGGAAATTAAAGAACACCCCTTCTGGTGGACTGGTCCAGATTGGCTTAAGCAAAATCAGTCGAATTGGCCATCGAAATTTACTGCACCTCCTTCACTAGAAGCTCTCCAATCGCTGGGTGTCACGAAAGACTGCTTACAACTAAAAGAGAAAGAAGAGGTACTTTGTAAACAACGACAGATAAAGCCTCGACGGAGCCTGTGATTGACATTACTCGATATTCCAGTTACATTCAACTAGTGAGAGTTACTGCCTGGGTATTTCGCGTGGTCACCCGTTCAAACCTATTCAGTTCTACACCACTAGCAGTGTCTGAACTATCCAAAGCTAAAACTTGGTTGATTAAACAAGCCCAAGCTCAAATGTTCCCAAACACTGTCAAATTGTTAAGAAAGAAAAATCCATTACCATTGTCTGATCCCTTGCAATAATTGAATGCCTTCTTGGATAAAGACGGATTATTAAGAGTTGGTGGTCGTCTTTCGCAGTCAATGAAAGATTACGAATCTCAGCATCCACTGATCCTTCATGGAAAGCATTATCTTTCAACCTTGATCGTACAGAGTGAACATAAACGATTGTGTCATGAATCGAAAGATAACAACTCAATTGATGGGTCAACTTCCGTCAGCACGTGTTTTGCCCACCTTTGCCAATGAGAGAGTCTCGGTAGACTATGCTGGACCGTTTACACTAAAGATAGGATCAGTTCGAAAGCCAACGTATCGCAAAGCCTATCTAGCAGTTTTTGTTTGCCTCGTAACCAAGTCGTGTCACATCGAATTAGTATCAGACCTCTCGGCGGAAGCATTCCTTGCTACACTTCGTCGCCTTGTCTCTCGAAGAGGAAAACCCACGCAGATTTGGAGCGATAACGCGACTTGTTTTCGGCGTACGGATAACGATTTAAGGGAACTTTATCGACTACTTCAAAGACCAGATATCAAAGAATCTGTTATGAACTTTTGTCCGTCCCAAGGCATCCAGTGGAAGTTTAACCCACCCACCGGTCCTCATCATGGTTCTGTTTGGGAGAACGGGGTAAAGTCCTGTAAACGGCACTTGAAGCGAATAGTTGGGGAAACCAAACTAAACTTCGAAGAAACGACAACCACCCTCTGCCAAATCGAAGCCTGTCTCAACTCTCGTCCACTGATACCTTCGCTTGATACAAATGATGATGATGGAATATCTCCACTTACCCCCTGGGCATTTTCTAATTGGACGTCCTTTAGAAGCTCTACCTAGCCGCATTTATAAAGAGCCCACTCTTGGTTTAAAAAGATGGAAACTCTGTCAAGCATTGACACAACACTTCTGGAAACGATGGTCTGCTGAATATCTCAATGGCTTACAACGATTTAACAAGTGCATGGAAAGTTCCAAAACGAAATCTTCAACTAGACGATATTGTCCTCGTTAAAGACAATCTACACCACCTTGTCAATGGCCTCTTGGTTGAGTCACAAAGGTTCATCCTGGTCCAGATAAACTTGTTCGAGTCGTTACTGTACAAAGAAGACTGGCACCTTCATCCGACCGATTGTGAAGTTATGTTTACTTCTACCAGCGAAGGAAGTGCCGAAGAAAGATGATCAAATGAAGTGAAGTAATGAACAATGAACGAATATAAGTTTGAACAGATAAGTTTAGATATGTGCTTATATTATTGACATTCTTTCGTTGATGCAATCAAGGCCGGCGGAACGGACACGCGTTATGTATTACATAAAGTACTTAGTATAATTTAGCAAGCGCATGCGCATTAAGCATGCTCTTGAGAACACATGTTTTGTAGGAAAAGGCAAAATATAAGTTTTACCTCTGTTACTCGTTGTTTTTCTTGGATAAAACAAAGGACTGTTAGCTAGGCAGTTAAAAACAAGTAAACAATCGCATCTACAGCCTAATTTCGTCACTCTCACGTGATATGCTCTCAACCAATAAAACACTAGAAAAATGAGACTTTGACTATTGATATATAATAATAATAAATATTAAAGCCCAGCAAAGTGCTTTTAAAAGCGCCATAAACCATTAAATTTAAAATTTTTTAATAAAGATTTAGTAACGTTTCGTCTTAACTTAAGACATCTTCAGACTATATTAAATTACAAGCTTTAAGAGTAATTAAGCACAGGGGCGGCGGAACAGGGGGGCTAGGGGGGCTAAAGCCCCCCAGAAGTAAAAGTGGGGGGCTTAGCCCCCCCAGAAAATTTGAATTTTTTGAAAAAATTTTGATAATTAGGGAAAAATTTAGGTTATTTTTTGAAAATTTGGGTATAAGGGGACAAATTTGCAATATTTTGTTTGAAAAAGACCTATTTCCGGAAAATTTTTTTGATATAAGTCCGGAAAAATTTTTTTCGTCCCTTTTTTGTTATATTGTACCCCTAAAGTGGTACACTGACCGAAATTTTTTTGGCGACGGGGGGGGGAGAGGAGGTCGCCGAAAAAATTTAGCCCCCCCAGAACGAAATCTGTTCCGCCGCCCCTGATTAAGCATAAATTAAAGCTATCATAGCAATATTAAATTATTTTTAAAAAAATTTTAATATTAAAATATTAAAATATTAGCATAGCAATATTAAAAATTTTTTTAAAAAAATTTAAATTTAATGGTTTATGGCTCTTTTAAAAGCACTTTGCTGGGCTTTAATATTTATTATTAGAATTCGTTTTCCGCCCGGTACTTCTCTGGTAACAATTTTGAAGAGCCGGATTATTAATAAAGAATCGGTACATTGTGTATTGCATAAACAAACTTTATAAAATAACCTTTTAATAACGCCTGCGCTGATTGGTTGAAAAGCGAAAATCCCGTGTTTCTATAACGCTATAGAACACGGGAATTTTCCACGAACCTCAAAACAACACACTAAAAACAAACGTTTTCGCCTGAAATATCGATTAAAAATCTTCGTCAACCTGAAATTTTGTTAAACAAGCATTAGCCCGCGTGCAGGCCCAAGGGAACTGATAGTGGGCCTGCAAGCAAGGCCCGGTATTTTGTACTTTCCGCGTTCGCCCACGAACGCGGCATTCTGATTGGCTGTTTGCTGTTGGATTCTATAATTAGGTCAGTGATTCATCACAAAGGCATAGACAAAGGCTCTCGATAAGCTTAAAATTCGAAAATTGATCACTTTTTTCGATTACAAATGAAACAAGAACAGACTGTTTATTGTTTACTTGAAGGAAGAGATGTTTTTGCCGTTATGCCAATGAGGATTGCTTGTTGTGAGGTGTTGGAATAGCAACATTTAATACGACTGGGGAAAACTATAGTAACCTTTACTTGAGTTTCATTAATTTCAAACAGACTTGATACGTTATATGTTCCTCAAGAAAATTATCTTTTGGTTGATGTTGAGATGCAGTTGCATGTAAGCCTATTCGAAACACTTTGCGATTTACAAGGGTGCGCTGATCAGAGAGCAAAACAGAAGACGGTATTAAATTGCCGCTTGAAACGAAACGATCTGGACACTGATCTATGTCACTGATACTATATGTGTATACTATCTAATACTACCTTTTCTGGGACAGTGGTAGACTCTATTCCCCTTGTTGTCTCTTCTGATTTCAATGTGGCTCTTCTTTCTCATTTTGCCAGCTTTAGGAGTCGAAAATAGATTTTCAGCTTCTTCCAAAGCCCTATCAAGACGTTCGCTTAACTGTTTTTTGGCTTTGCCGTTGTTACTCTTGTTTGCTTTCCCTATCAAGCAAAAAAATGGTCTTAAATATACTGTATAAAGTTTCGAAACAGTTGAAATTGAGAGCATTTCACTTTGTTTTATATAATACTATATTATTCTATGATCAACTAAAGGGATCATGGACATAACATAGCTCTATTAAACAAATTCTTACCCATTGGTCTTTGAACTTCATCCATATTCATGAATTTGTAATAATAAAAGATTAAAGTATGTAAATTTGTGAAAGAAACGAGGATAGAAAGACCATAGTTTTGGGACTTTTGGCTCGCTTTCTTCACTCCTGGCAAAGACGCGTCAGCGATATGGTCCCGAATTTGCTCAGCGTTCATCATCATTAAAATTAAGGCAATACCTTAATTTGAGAGCTCATTTACAATTAAGATGTAGCTTTAATTTTGGGAAGAGATCATGTTAGTAACATTGAACAAAAGACCCGAGATATTCGCAAAATGCCGACATCGCGAGAAATTTTGGGCGGGAAATTTTGAACGCGCGTGCGAATAATGACGGTGCACGTCAGCAAACTATAGATCAAGCCATTATAACGAACTGAATTTAATCGCCTGAAGATTGCCACAAATAGTGGCATGAAACTTAAAGTAGCGAGAAATTGAAACATTTTAAGATAACAAATTAATTCGCTCTGCTAAATATTTGTAGTATTCTCTTATCTATAACGAAAACGAAAATATAGGTTGCTTTTATGCTATCGAAAGAATTTTGAGGTAAAACAAAAGCTATATACGCTCTATCTATATGGTATTGAGCACTGTTTGTGTTTCGCAAACCAAAAACTTAACCTATATATATATATATATATATATATATATATATATATATATATATATATATATATATATATATATATATATATATATATATATATATATATATATATATATATATATATATATATATATATATATATATATATATATATATATATATATATATATATATATATATATATATATATATATATATATATATACAATATATATATATATATATATATTAGAACTTTTTAGACTTTTTATTGTACATATTCTAGTATTTTAAAAAGAATTTTAGACCAGCTTCAACTCCAAAACTATCATATATATATATATATATATATATATTATTTATATATATATATATATATATATATATATATTATTTATATATATATATATATATATATATATATATATATATATATATATATATATATATATATATATATATATATATATATATATATATATACAATATATGTCATTTACTGAGCATGCAAGTGGTCCGGACTGTATAGGACATTATGATCACTATTCAGTCGAGTTGTTATACAAACGAAAAAAGAACGAGACTAATCCAATAAGTAATTTATGATATGGCTAAAAACACTAAGAGCATCCTCGAAAAACAATGACGTTTAAGGTGGCTCCCTAGGGTTTTATCCCCGGGGATTACGTTCTTCGTACATATATATATGTAAAATATCGCGTGTGTACTTGTGTGACTTCAAAATACGATGAAACTCTTTTTTGAAAGAAATGCGTGAACTTTGCTTTAGTTAAGAGCATAAAAGCAGTTCTAAAATCCATAACGATACTTGGACGTGATGTTTCAGAAAAAGATAATGTAAATTTTTCTTTTTCAAGCGGTATATATTCTGGACATTTATGACCGCCGTACGCGAGGGTCGCATCGCCTCGAACCAGGGCCACCGAGAGGGGGTAGGGGGGGGGGGGAATTGCCCCGGGCCCACAGGTTCTGGGGGCCCCTAGAAAATTGGGCCTAGAAAATTTTTGGAAGAAATATTTCCGCGCAAAGGGCAAGCTTGATATTTGGGGTTTTTTAACTAAATCTGTTGTCCGAAAAATTTTTTTCCGGAAAAATTTTTGAAATAGGGCCCCTAAAAAAAAATTGCCCGGGCTCCCGCCAAGCTCTCGGCGGCCCTGCCTCGAACATCTGGGATATAATATAAAGTGTCCTCAAGTATTTGCAGTGTTTTGTGCACAATCTAGCAGCACTTCTCACAGTAAAGATGACTTAAATAATGAGCACTAAATACCTACCTAAATATCTTTGCCAATTTTACATGTAATAATCCACGCTTAGTTGACCGTTAACCGACACAATAAAACGGTATATCAACATAATTTATATTTTGTAATATTAAAAAATATGTATCTGCGAAAAAACGTGATTCACATTTTGTATTTTCTTGAAAGGAACTGAATAATGAAGATGTCATGGAACAATTGAAACATTTCATTATATATTATATCATATATATTTTTACGATAAAAATAACAGCAAATAAGATTTTTAAGTCAAACATAATACACATCTAACAGGGCTGTACAGTGCGGAGGGCAGCAGGACCAACTCCCCCCGCCAACCTTGTACGCAGGTTCTCAATCTTCGCTCCTACCTCGCTTGAATTGAGACCCTGGTATCGGCTGGTCACATGACCCATCATATTTTGGCGGAATTGCTAATTTGTTTTTAGGGAAAGGATAGTAATGTTCACTAGAATATCTACTTACTATACTTTCCCTAGAACAATTGAGCAAATCCGCCAAAATATGACGGGTCACGTGACCAGCCGATACCAGGGTCTCAATTCAAGCGAGGTAGGAGCGAAGATTGAGAACCTGGGTACGAAGTCGTCCCCTCCCCCCCCCCCCCCCCC